AAAAAAAAAAAAAAAAAAAAATATATATATATATATATATATAAAATCTTTCAGATGACTTATTGCAATATAAAAGTTTCACACCCCAGTTATATCTGTGGGTGGTGAATTGCTTGCAAGCCTTGGAGTGCATGTTTTGGGTACGTGGTGGGGGGAGGGAGTGATGCCTTTGAGTAGGTGGGACCTGAATGCAGAGACTTTTGATGGGAACTGAACGCCTGAGGTCACACGTTCTCGCTCACGTGCCGCTGCCCAGCCCGTGGGTCCCAGCCTCTGCTTTCCCTGCTTGGTTGGTGAACATTCTGCTTTAGTGTCAGCCTATACCTGCGAAGCTCTTTTGCTTCTGGTTGTTTATAAAGGTCTCTGAGTAACATTTCTTCTTCATCTCCTCAGCCATATAAAAAAATGTAGCCTGTTTGTGAAGCTGCTTGGTACCCAGGAGTCTCACTCCTCTCCTACACCACCAGGAAGATGGGCTTCTAGGCTCCTTTATGGAGCTTGAGTGGTGAGCTGTCCTGGGTCAGCCAGAATACCTCTTTCATTCCCAGTGCGTCATGTTGATAAATTGTGTTGGGCTGTGGATGGGTCTCTGTGGCTTAGCCTAGTATCTTCCAAATTATCGTGAAGGTTTCCACAGAGTGTGCGTGTGAGGGGGTAGGAGTCACATGGGGCTGACTTGCCACAGAGGTCGGGAAATGCTGGATTAAACAAGAACAGCGTTAGAAAGTTTCTTTCATTTCAGGGTTTCTGAATGCTCAGGAGGCCTGTGTTCATTGGCACTCTCCCAGTGAGAGAGTCTCAGGACTTACCCAAAGTTACGTGACCAAGGCCGCACACCCTTTCTCAGTGGACTGCCATTTACAGGGTCTGGAAAGCACTCCTAGAATTCCTCTGCCTTCTGGCATCCCAGGCCCCTCCCACTGTCCCCCCTCGCCTGCCCTCCCAGCAGCCCCAGTCAGTCCCACCTCCCTCTGGGTGCAGGTGGTCTTCGGCCTCTCTAAGAGCTCACCCGCCCCCTCCATTGCCGTTGCTGATGACTGGGGAAGGGGTTTCTCTGCCCATTGAGATAGAGTGGGATTCGATGTATCAGACCAAGTTTATGTCTATTGGGAGGCCTTCCTTAAGTATTATTTTTCTCACCCATTTTAACCCCCTTAGGAAGTTCTGAAACCTTCTGGTCTGAGTTTATGACACAGAGCACACACTGAGCTTTCTTCTCAGGGCTCCACAAGGAGACAGCAGCCCTCCTGAGGGCCGAGTGCTGGGGCGATGTCCCTCAGACTTCCCAGCAGCTCTGCTGGCTGTGGGAACGTACCTTAAGATTTCTTCAGTGTAGGACTGTTACTTTGTTTCCTGAAATAATTAGAGAAATGTGGTTTATTAAAAAGAAACCTGTGTCCCTGTAACTCTGCAGCTTCCTTGGCCCAGGCTGCCTGCTGTGATCCTGCCTTGTCTGTAGGTCACATGTGTTCCAGTTTGGGGAGTGTGGTAGTGAGACACTGACACAGAGATGAACGTTTGAGTCTGTGTGTGCCCACCTGGCTTGGGGTGGGAGTCGTGGAGTGATGAGGAAGGCTACCTGGCTGGGTGTGATTCATGGAGAGTGAGAGGGAGTGTGGAGGATGGGTGATGGGAGACAGGTGATGCGCTTGGGTAAGGCAGTAGGGTGGGTTTTTCCTTGACTCAGAAACGCAAGACCCAGTGCATGTGGTGACTGGTCTATGGAGAATGTGACTGAGGTTTGGACTCTGCTGTCTGTACTCAGGCAGTGCATTATATAATAATTCTGTGACTACCTTGAACCCTTTGGGGAAAGAACCTGGGTGAGAGTAAATAAAAAGTAAATAGAGATTTACTGTATTTATATAATTGGACCTGTCAGTAACACTTCCCAATACTAGTGCCAGATACTGTGTGAACGTGCATAACCAGAGTGACCCCCCCCGCAGCACCACCACTCAGCCTCCCTCCAGCACCTGCCCTGTGACCTTCCCAGCACCCACCATTGTAACCTCCCCAGCACCCACTCTGTGACCCCTACCAGCATCCACCATGCCCAGCTATACCCATCTGTGTGCGCTCACATGTACACATATGGGCACACAGTTCCTTAGCATAGCCGGGCTGCACATCCTGGCAACCTGGCTCAGCCGTGGGCCTGTGGCATCCCACAGCCCCAGTCACGACGGCCACCCTGGCCCTGTTACCCTGTGGCCACCTGCAGGGCACAGCACGGGCCTCCTCCCTGGGACGCACCTGTCTGGGGTCCTGGCGCGCGTGCTCTCACAGCTCTCTTTGAAACAGGTGTCTGGATGCACTTTGTAGACTCTTTTATACCTGCGTCACAAGAAAGCTCAGTGAAGCCGGAAACTGAGCAGAGTGTTGCCCAGCCCCTTCACCTAGGCTACACAAACCTACAGGTAGCTGTACAGGTGTCTGAGGAAAGGCTATTATTCTCCTGATAAAACTTTACCTCCTGTGGATGTATTAAAATGTCCAACATAAAAATCATGTAATTGAAAACAATGACTTTATCAAGGTATGATTTATGTAAAATAAGATACACTCATTTTAAGTGTACATTATGATGAGTGTTGACAAAGTGATATATAGTAAGAGATAAAGTGTGCTGGGACTTCCCTGGTGGTTCAGTGGTTTAGAATCCGTCTTGCAACGCAGGGGACTCCGGTTCCGTCCCTGGTCGGGGAACTAAGATCCCACATGCCGCAGGGCAGCTGAGCCCGTGCCCTGCAACTACAGAGCCCATGCATTCTGGAGCCCACGCGCCACGACTGGTGAGCCCGCGTGCCGCAAGTAATGAATGAGCCCATGCACCACAACTGGAAAAAAGCCTATGCACTGCAATGAAGAGCCCGCGCGCCACAATGAAAGATCCCCAGTGCCCCAACTAAGACCCAGTGCAGCCAAAAAATAAATAAATATTTTTTTTAAAATGTGCTATTTCAAAGACATGTCTTGCTTGAGACAGGCTACTTGGCTCCGAAGCCTTGAGACAATGTGACTGCACTCTTATGGGCAGTTGATGGAGACGTTTGAGAAGCCTTGGAGATGCAGGCATTAGACACGGGCGGTGTGGGACAGGAGACCTGGCTCCTAGCCCTGCCTCCCACTTATTAACTAGTGTACTCTGAGCACGTCTCTGGAACTGAAGCCTCTGTTTCACATGAGATGGGATTGCTTATACTGCCTCTGTCACATGTTTGTAGAGAATAACGAATGAGAAAGTGTTTGACTCTTGGTAAAGCTTTTTAAACATCGGAGCTGTTTGAAAGAGATCCAGGGAGTTCAATGGGTAAAACTCATGAGCTTAGTCTAGGAGAGTCCTTAGGGTCTAAAGCCTTAGCTAAGACTTCCATTGCCAGCCATCAGGCAGTAAGAGGATCTGGAATTAACTTCCACATGTGAACAACTGGTCAAGATCCAGGAAGTAAGTCTTTTCAGATGTTAGAAAAAAGACAGTGCAAAACGGTAACCCAGAGAGAAGGGGAGCAAGATGAGCTCTGGGATGGTCCTGGAATTCAGCCTGGAGGCACTTTTTGGACTGTGTTGTGGGTTAGGGAGACTCCAAGCAGTGGTTACACTGAGTGGGCAAAACAGAGATTGGAGTTGGGGAGGCAGAGGAAGCTAAAATTTGTGGGTCAGAGTACGGAGAGGAGGGAGCTATGCAGAGGAAGAGCTCCAGAAATCTGGAGGGGGCGGTCCCCTTGAAAATTAAGCTGTGTGTGCATAGGGTGAATAAAGATGGGCAACAAGGAACTACTGAGGAGCTGGACAGTTCCCAGAGCCAGAGTGGGGAGATCTTGATTAATAGGCTGTTCCAGAGAAATAGAAACCCCAGAAAGGAGAAAGGCCTTGCCTTAAAAGTGGGGCATAATTAACCCCAGAATAAAGCCTATGCTAAAGCCACCCTAAAACAGGCCTCAAAAGGATCCATCTAAACTGCCTTGCAAAAAACCAAAAACCAAAAGTAAAACAAAGGAACAGGACAAGGATGCTCACTCTCACCACTTCTGTTCAACGTAGTACTGGAAATCCTAGGCACAGCAGTCAGATGAGAAGAAGAAGTCAAAGGTTTCTAAACTGGGAGGGAGGAGGTAGAACTGTCACTATTTGCAGATGGCGCGACACTAGAGAACACTGAAGTCGCCACACACAAACTGTTAGGGCTAGTAAATACAGCAAGGTAGCAGGATGCAAGATTAATACACAGAAGTCTGTTGCACTTCTTTACACTAATAATGAAACATCAGAAAGAAAGTAAAAAAAAAAAAAAATCCTGCTTAAAATCACGTTTTTAGAAAGCTCTAGGAATAAACTTAACCAAGGAGGTGAAATACCTACATGCTGAAAACTAAAACATTGATAAAGGGAACTGAAGATGATTCAAAGACATGGAAAGATATCCCGTGCTCTTGGATTGGAAGAATTAATATTATTAAAATGGCTATACTATCCAAAGCAATCTACAGATTTAATGCAATCCTTATCAACACAGCTATGACATTTGTCACAGAACTAGAACAAATAGTCCTGAAGTTTATATGGAAACACAAAAAACCACAGATTGCCAAGCAATCCTGAGAAAAATGAACAAAGCTGGAGGTATAACCCTTCCAGACTTCAAACTGTACTACAAAACTATGGTAATCGAAACAGTGTAGTATTGGCACAAAACCAGACATACAGATCAATGGAACAGAATAGAGAGCCCAGAAATAAACCCATACACCTATGGTCAGTTAGTCTATGAAAAAGGAGGCAAGAATATACAATGGTGAAAAGACAGTCTCTTTAACAAGTGGTGTTGGGGAAGCTGGACAGTTACATGTAAATCATTGAAATTAGAACATTCCCTCACACCACATACAAAAACAAACTCAGAAAGGTCTAAAGACCTAAACTTAAGATGTGACACCATAAAACCCGTAGAAGAGGACATAGGCAAAACGATCTTTCACATAAATTGTAGCGGTATTTTCTTAGATCAGTTTCCCAAGAAATAAAAGCAAAAATAAACAAATGGGACCTAGTCAAACTTAAAACCTTTTGCACAGCAAAGGAAACTCAACGAAACAAAAAGACAACCTACGGAATGGGAGAAAATATTTGCAAACAATGTGACCAACAAGAGCTTAATTTCCAAAACATACAAACAGCTCATACAGCTCAACAACAAAAAGACAAACAACCCAATCTAAAAATGGGCAGAAGACATAAATAAACATTTTCCCAAAGAGGACATACGGATGGCTAACAGGCACATGAAAACATGCTCAACATCACTAATTATTAGAGAAATGCAAATCAGAATCACAATGAGGTATCACCTCACACCAATCAGAATTGCTATCATCAAAACGTCTACAAATAATAAATGCTGGAGAGGGTTTGGAAAAAAGGGAACCTTCATACACTGTTGGTGGGAATGTAAATTGGTGCAGCCACTTTGGAGAACAGTATGGAGGTTCCTTAAAAATACTAAAAATAGAGTTACCATGTGATCTAGCTATCCCACTCCTGCGTATATATCCAGAAAAAAGGAAAACATAATTCAAAAAGATACATGCACCCCAATGTTCATAGCAGCACTATTTATAACAGCCAAGACTTGGAAACAACCCAAGTGCCCATCGACAGACGATTGGCTTAAGAGGTTGTGGTACATATATACAATGGAATATTACTCAGCCATAAAAAAGAATGAAATATTCCCATTTGCAGCAACATGGATGGACCTAGGGAATATTATGCTTAGTGAAGTGTGAGAGAAAGACAAATACTATATGATATCATTTATATGTGGAATCTAAAAAATAATACAAATGGATCTATATACCAAACAGAAACAGACACACAGACATAGAAAACTTACGGTTACCAAAGGGGAGAGGTGGCAGGGGGAGGGATAAATTAGGAGTATGGGATTAACAGATACAAACTACTATACATAAAATAGTTAAGCAACAGGGATTTACTGTATAGCGCAGGAAATTATACCCAATATCTTGTAATAGCCTGTAGTGGAATATAATCTGCAAAACAAAAAACCAAACCAAAAAACCCAGAAAACTGAATCACTATGCTGTGCACGTGAAACTAATGCAATATTGTAAATCAACTTTACTTCAATAAAAAAGTTAAAAACAAAAATAAAACAAAAACATTCTTGAAAAGAATGCCAAAAAAAAATTTCCAACAGTCTGTACCATAAAGTTTATAATGTCTAACATCCCAACAAAAAAATTACAAGAGTATCAGTCATACAAAGAATCAAGAAAATGTGACCCATCAACAGGAAAAAAAATTGAACAGAAAAACACCCAGAAATGAGAGCAATGACTGAAATAGCAGACATCTGTTATAAATTTGCTGTACACGTTCAGTGATGTAAAGGAAAATATAAACATAATGAGAGAAGTGGAGGCTCAAAGAAAGAACTAGATGGAACTTCTGGAGATGATAAAACACAGTATCTGGGACTCCCCTGGTGGCACGTGGTTAAGAATCCGCCTGCCAATGCAGGGGACACAGGTTCAATCCCTGGTCTGGGAAGGTCCCACATGCTGTGGAGTAGCTAAGCCCATGTGCCACAACTACTGAGCCTGCGCTCTAGAGCCCACGAGCCACAACTACTGAAGTCTGCACACCTAGAGCCCGTGCTCCGCGACAAGAGAAGCCACCACAGTGAGAAGCCCGTGCACCGCAACAAAGAGTAGCCCCGCTCGCCGCAACTAGAGATAGCCTGTGCGCAACAACAAAGACCCAACACAGCCAAAGCAAAACAAAACAAACAAAAAATCACAATATCTGAAATGAAAATTTTGCTGAATGGGATTAATGGTAGGTTAGACACTGCAGAAGAAAAGATCAGTGAAATTGAAGGCATGGCAGTAGAATCTATCCAAAACAAAGTAAAGAGAAAAAGGAGTGAAAAAAAGGAAAAGAGCCTCAGTGACCTGTGGGACAGTATCAGTCTAATACATGCTTAATTGGAGTCCCAGAAGAAGGAGAGAAATGGATGCATAGAAAAAGTGTTTGAAGAAGTAATGGCTAAAATTTTCCAAATTTGATGAAAGCTAAAACCACAGAGGTGAAGCTTAACAAACTCCAGAGAGTAAAAACACATGTACGTAACCTACCAAAGCACATCATAATTAAATTTCCAAAAAAAACAGTAATAAAGAGAAAACGTAAAAGCAAGCCACAGGTGATGGGGACCACGTTACATATAGAGGAACAAGAATAAGAGTGACTGAAGTTTTCCCATCTGAAACTGCAAGCCAAAAGACAAAGGAATGACCTCTTTGAAGTGCTGAAATTTGAAAAAAACACAATTATCAACCAAAACTTCTGTGTTCAGCAAATGTGTCTTTTGAAAATGAAGGTGAAATAAAAGCCTTTTCAGACAAACAGAAGCTAAGAGAATTCACCACCAGCAGACCTGCCCTATAGGAAATGTTCCAGTGAGCTCTTTAGGCCAAAGGTAAATGGTACCAGATGGAATCTTAGACCTGCATGAAGGCATGAAGAGCGCTGGAAACGGTAGACGTGTAAGTCACTACAAAAGACTTTATACTCCCAAAATTTTTTAAAAAGATGATTGTTGAGAGCAAAAGTAACACACTGTGTGGTTCATGGCATATGTGGAAGTAAAACGTCTGGCAGTGACAGGGGAAGTAGAAGCTTGCTGTTGCGTGTCTTCCATGATACTGAAGTTGTGTTGTAATTCAAGGTATATTGTGATCAGTTGAAGATGCATATTTTAAATCCCAGAGCAGCCACTAAAGAAAATAAACCAAAGAAGTGTATCAGTGAGCCAACAGTACAGGTAAAATAGAACCCTAAAAAATAATCCAGAAGTAGGCAGGGAAAGAGAAAGTAACAAAGATAAGATGGGACAGATGGAAAACAATATGTTAGATTTAAACCCAGTCACTTCAGTCATTTTGTTAACATGTAAATGGTCTAAACACTCCAAGAGAAACCAGAGATGTCAGACTGGCTGTATGGCAAGACCCTCGCAAATGCTAAATACAAGGAAGTCCCTTTCAGATACAGTAGGTGGAAAGCACTGGGTGGAAAGCTATGGGCAAGTGCAGGGCTCTCCCAGTCAGGTACTTGGTGGTCGCCCCAGGCACCGGTGTAACTAACACAGCCGGAAGACGCAGGTGCAAGGGGTCCGGAGTGCCATTCCACAAGGTCCAAGTTCAGGGGCCTGTAAACCTGGGTTCCCAAGTCCCAGTGCAGCTCAGTGCCTCTGGTGTATCCCTGCTGCGTGTCACGCTGGCTTCATGTCCAGGCTCATGTGAAGCCTTCTGTCTTGCCTTCCTACATCCCATCCCAGTGATCTTTAAACACGTCAGGTGTCACTTCAGCTCAGTGTCCTTCAGTAGCTCCCCACTTCACAGAGGACACATGCAGGTCCTTCCAAGGGTCTCCAAGGCCCACACTCCACGCCCCCTCGCTCACTCGGCTTCAGCCCTGCTGGCCTTGCTGCTCCTTAGACGGGCAGGCAGGCTCCTGATTTCAGGGCCTTGGCAACAGGTACACTCTGACTGGGCCATTCTTCCCTCAGATATCTCCGCCCGCCCATGTCTGGTCATGTCACCTTCTCCATGAGGCTTCCCCTGACACCCTGCCGAATGCTGCTGCCACCCCCTCCTGCCCCCCGGGCCTGGCTCTCCTGGCCCTGTGTATTCCTTTCTTCCATCCTCCTTTAGCGCTTGCCACCATTTAAAACACTGCAGGACAAACTCGTGCTTCTTGTGTACTGTGTCTCCCTCAGCTAGAACATCGGGACTCCCAGGGCAAGACTTTGGCCCGTTCGGCTCGCTGATGTGTGCCGAGTGTTCCGAACCATGCCTGGCACACGGGAGGTGATCGTCCGTATTTGTGGACAAAGCAGGTTGTAAGTATGACCCACGGAGTCAGAGTGTTAGCAAGAAAGGTCCGAAGAGGTGGGCTCGGCAGACTCCCTCCTCAGCCCGTCTTACAGATGGGGAAACTGAGGCATGAGTGCCTTGCCCAGGGCCGTGTCAGGAACTCACGGCAGAACCACGACTCGAGGTCTCCTGTGCTGAGGAGTGGCACTTCCTGGAGTCTCCGCGTGCCCTGCCATCCAGGGAAGGGAGGCTGATGCCACTCCAGGGCGTGGGGAAGCAAGGCCCGAGGGCAGGAGCAGGGGATCCCGCTTCTAGACCTCATGTGGCTCTGCTCCCAGCTGCACAGCCTTAGGCAAGGTTTTCAGCCCTTTTGCTTCAGTTTCCTAATTTGTCGCATGGAGGGGGTGGGTGGTCAAAGCAAGCCCTTTCCGTGCTGTGACTACTAGACCTCAGGGGCCTGTGAGGACAGGGTGGAAGCATTTCAGGGTCGGGAACATGCTACAGACATGGTGAAGGCGGAGGAGAGGGACTTACACGTGGTGACAGACGCCTCTTTCCCAGACCGGAAAGGACTTTGTCTCCGAGAACAGCCGTGTGCAGGGCTGGGGCACCTTTCTACAGGCTGCTGGCACAGAGGAAAAGGGCCGTCGCTTACAAGGAGCTCAAGGCCACGGTTGCCCTCTTCCTGCAGCCACTGTAGGTCCGGGGTTCTGCCCCTGCCACTTCCTGGCCTGGGGGCCCTGTCCCCGGGGCTGCTCAGCGACTGTGGGTGCTGCTCTGAGTTGCGGTCCTGGGAGCCTGCAGGCTGGTTTCCCTCAGGGCTGGTCGGAGTCTCTGGGTCTGGCAGGCCTCAGGGCTGTGTGGCTGGCGTGGGAACTTCTGTCCATGAGCCTCTCGTCCTCAGCCCAGAAGTCTGAGGCAGGCCCGTGGCCCTTTTCCCTCCCACTGCCTTGTTTGGTCCCCAGGCGAGAAAAGCCCCCTCCTCCCTCCTCTCCCTGTGGAGCGGCTGTCGCTGTGTCCCTGTGACTGTCCCAGACCCCCCAGTTATCTGGGCAGCACCTTTCACCCTGGCGCTTTGGGGCAGTGGGAGGCCTGGCGGCTCACTGCCTGCCAGCCTCCCTACCTGGACGCTTGGAGGTCTGGGGCACCGTAGCCAGGCCCCTGTCCTGGCATCTCATGGCTGGAGGTCCTTGTGGCGAACCCACCCTGGGGCCAGCGGTCCCATCAGAGCCTGCCGTCACAAGCATCTAGAGGCCAGGCCCCAGCCCCAGTGACCCCAGCAGGCAAGGGGAGCGGCCCCAAACTTACCAAGCTCACAGTGTCTGCCTTTGAACCCCGGGGTGCAGTCACAGCTGTGGGCATCCTCACCAGGCACACAGGTGCCTCCGTTCTGACAGGGGTTGTCTGAGCAGTTCCCAGGGGCATCTGTGAACAGCCACAAGCAGTTAGTCTCAGGGCCCCACAGGAAGGCCTGATAGCATTCCCAGGTTGCCGTCCCCAACACCAGTGGGCCCTAGGGGTGGTCAGAGAGCAGAGGTGAGAAGACTGGCCTCAGTGTGCTCAGCCCTGACCCCATTACCTCGAGGGAGAGAGGGAGGGCTCTCGGTGCTGAGCCGCCGCCTCGGCTCACAGCTTAGATCATGGCTGCGGTCTGGTCGTCTTTGGGAGAGACTCCCCGCTCTGCCCTGGCCTGTGCCCCCTGCCCCACGTTTCTGCTGACTTTGCCCCGCCGCACAGGGTTTCTTCTACTCGGAACACAGAGGCCAACCCTTGAGAGCCCTCCTCATCCTCCAGTGCCTGTCCCCGAGCCACCTGTGTGTCGCCAGGTCCCAGCCCCAGGCAGCCTGTGTGCAGCACCCTGTGCTGGTGTCTGTGCCCCTTGGGCCGCTGTCTGCCGTCCGCACGCTGGAGCTAGAGGCAGGGTGGTCAGTGGCGCTGCCTGGGAGGGGCAGACCTGTCCCTCCCCCCTTAGAGTCCACTGTCCTTTTTTTTTTTTTTTTTTTTAAAGCTTTGCAAGATAGCTGTTTTCATTTTTAACTCTTAAAAAACTAAGAAACACAAAAGAATAAGAATCGTGCATATGCCGCCACTTCCAATAACCCCTCCACGTCTGATCCAGCCCTTCCCCCTTCCCCCCTTCTCGGCAGCCGCCTCATGGGGGGAGGTTTATTAACATTTTGCCAATCTTGTTTAATCTATTTCCAGCTTACCATCTGCCTTTCTTTCTCTAGTTGGAGAATTTCAAAGCAGTTCACAGAAACCATTTCACCTGTAAATATGTCAGCAAGTATCTAATACACAAAGACTTAAGGAGTTTTCACGTAAGCACATACTATTATTACAGAATTAACAGTAGTTCCTTAGTATCACAAGAAGCCAGAGTCCGCGTTCACATCTCCCTGATCATCTTAAAAATGTTACTTGCAGTTGGTCCCATCTAATTCAGATTCATAAAGATTCGCATTGCCTTAGTTTGATGGATCTCGAGTCTCTTTTCATCTATAAATTTAGCCTTCTTCCCCTCTGTATTTATTGAAGAAATGAGGTCATCTGTCCCGTGGAATTCCCATCCTCTGGGTCTGACTTACGGCATTAACTTGCCCCCTCCCCATGTTTCCTGTTAACTGGTAGTAAGAGAAAGGGGCTTAATAGGATTCAGGTTCACATGGTCTTTGCTTTGCTTTGGCTTCACAACAGGTGGCTGTGTGCCCTTTGGCTACACCAGGAGACATATGATGTCTCCGCATCTGGCTTTCATGACGTGAGCATCGATCACTGGTTCAGTGTTGGCAGCCTGATTAATCCAGAGTAAAGTTCTCCTAGGCTCTGCACCTGATGGCTTGAGAAGTCATATAGATCCCTGATCTCTCACTAGGGTCATGTCTAATGTGATCTGTCACTTCTCTGCCTCCACTAGCTGGGGAGTCCCCTCTGAAGACCTGCTTTCCTTCACCCACCCCTTGGTCACCCTAAAATACAGCCCATACAGGCAAGGCCAGGTAAATGCTCCATTCTTTTCCTTTATTTGTACACTTGCAGAGTGAGTTGGTCCCCCAGCAAGCTCTAAAGTTGACCAATACGTTGTTCTTTCTTTTTTACCATTGTTATGACCTTGTGGACTTGTATATATTTGATGGGTTTCAGTCTGTTGCTGTCATTAGCTTTCTTCATGCTCAGATTATCCCATCTTTGGCCAGTGGGAGCCCCTTCAGGTTGGCTCCTGTGCCCTTTAGACACAATCCTAGTTGTTTTTGAAAGCCTGCTTGCTTTTTTACAAGTATGTCCTAGGATTTTTTTAAAAATTTTTTTAGGCTGTACCATGCAGTTTGTGGAATCTTAGTTCCCCAACCAGGGATTGAACCCGGGCCTTTGGCAGTGAAAGGGCGGAGTTCTAACCACTGGACTCCCAGGGAATTCCCATGTCCTGGGCTTATTTTGTCCATGTTCTGCTTCAGCCTTGGAATCAGCCATTTCTCTGAAGACCCCAGTCTATATATTTATTTATTTAAAAAATATTTATTTATTTATTTGGCTGCCCTGGGTCTTAGTTGCGGCACGCGGGATCTTCATTGCTGTGTGCAGGATCTTTAGTTGTGGCATGCAGGATCTTTTTTTAGTTGTGGCATGTGGGATCTAGTTCCCTGAACAGAGATCGAACCTGGGCCCCCTGCATTGGGAGCATAGAGTCCTAACCACTGGACCACCAGGGAACTCCCCCCCGGTTCCTTTTAGTGGAGAATGGTATCTAGAGTCCACAGTCTGGCTGATCAAGGGGCTCACTGTTACTGTGGTGTCAGTGCTCCAGGTCTTTTCAGGAGACAGAACTAGGAAATTAGATTTAAAAAATAAAAATGAACAAATTATGAGTTCATTCCAATGTTTCCAGTTCAAATGAACAGAATTAAATAAAATCAGGGGTTTTACTTCTTTGATTTTTATATTGTATCACTTCATGCTGAAAATCTTTGTGGCATTAACATAATTATTTTCTTTATCCCACACTGTACATGTAATAGTTTGGAAATGACATTAAGATCACTGAGTACAGCTTAAAATTTCTTGGCAATTCTTTTAATCCTTAGATTATATCCCACTAGATGTCAATAGTCAGAATGCTGTTTTATTTATTTATTTTGGCTGCGCCAGGTCTTAGTTGCGGCACGTGGGATCTTTAGTTGCTGCACGTGGACTTCTTAGTTGCGGCATGCAGACTTCTTAGCTTCGGCATGCAGACTTCTTAGCTGCGGCATGCATGTGGGATCTAATTCCCCAACCAGGGATCGAACCTGGGCCCCCTGCATTGGGAGCGTGGAGTCTTACCCACTGGACCACCAGGGAAGTCCCTAGAATGCTGTTTTAGAAATCACTTGAAGTGATGCTTTTTTTTCCTGTGCGGTTATGCCATCAGCATGGTTAATAAGTTTATTTCAGTTTGTTTTCAAATTTTAGGCATTGCTTTCTTTTTTGGTGTCATTTAAAAAAACATTTTCTTATTTCTAAAGTCACATCTATAAAGGTACATTTAGAGATACCTATCCTCCCTCTCCATTCCCCTTACTTCTTCATTCTTGTTCTTTGCTTAATTATAGAGTTAATCATTTTTATTAGTTTTATGTATTTTTAAATATAAGAAAATAGGTATGTACATTCATATTTCCCTTCCCCACTTTCCTACACAAAAGAGATACCAAAAACACTGTTCTGCACATTACGTTTTGGAAACAGCTTTATTGAGATATACTTTATATACAATTCAGCCATTTGAAGTGTATAGATTTTTAGCATATCCACAGATATGTGCATCCATCCCCATGGTCAATTTTAGAATGTTCTTATCACCTCAGAAAGAAACCCAGTACCCTTTAGCTCTCACCCCATATACCTCCACCCCCCACCCCCAGTCCGAAGCAACCATTGATCTACTTTCTATCACTATAGGTTTCCCTATTCTGGACTTTCACATGAATGGAATCAGATTATGTGTTCTTTATGACTGGCTTCTCTCACTCAGCATAATGTTTTCAAGGTTCATCTATGTTGTAGCATTTATCAGTACTTTATTCCTTTTTATGGTCCAATAATTTTGAATATAACACATTTGTTCATCCATTCATCAGTTGTTTCCACCTTTCGGCAATTGTGAATCGTGCTGCGGTGGCCATCCGTGTAAGTCCTTGCGTGGACATACGTTGTCGTTTCTCTTGGGTGTGTAGCTAGGAGTGGAATTGCTGGGTCACATGGTAACTCCACGTTTAATTCTTTGAGGAACTGAAGCAGCTGCACGACTCTGCATTCCCACCAGCAGTGTTGGAGGGCTCCAGTTTCTCCACCTCCTCATCGGTGCTTGTGGGTATCCTGACTTTTTCATTCTAGCCATCCTGGTGTATGTGAAGAGGCATCTCACTGTGGTTTTGATTAGCATTTCCCTGATGACTAGTGATACCAAACATCTTCTCATGGGCTTGTTGCCATTTGTATATCTTCCTTGGAGAAATGTCTATTCAGATCCTTTGCTTCTTTTTTTTTTTTTTTTTTTTTTTTTTTTTGCGGTACGTGGGCCTCTCACTGCTGTGGCCTCTCCGGTTGCAGAGCACAGGCTCCGGACGCGCAGGCTCAGTGGCCATGGCCCATGGGCCCAGCCGCTCCGCGGCATGTGGGATCTTCCCGGACCGGGGCACGAACCCGTGTCCCCTGCATTGGCAGGCGGACTCCCAACCACTGTGCCACCAGGGAAGCCCTGCTTATTTCTTAATTGGGTTATTTGTCTTCCTCTTATTCAGCTTTAAGAGTTCTTTATATATTTTAGATTCAGATTCCTTTTCAAGTATATAATTTGCAAATATTTTCTCCCATTTTATGGGTTGTCTTTTCACTTCCTTGATGATGTCTTTTGAAGCACAGAAAGTTTTAAATTTTGATGAAGTCCAACTTAACCTTTTTTTTTCTTTTGTTGCTCTTGCTTTTGGTGCCACATCTAAAAATCCTTTGGGACTTCCTTGGGGGTCCAGTGGTTAAGAATCTGCCTTCCAGGGGACGTGGATCGATCCCTGGTTGGGACACTAAGATCTCACATGCTGTGGGGCAGTTAAGCCCATGCACCACAACTACTGAGCCCATGGTCTCTCGAGCCTGTGTGCCACAACTAGAGAGAAGCCTGTGTGCCACAACTAGAGAGAAGCCTGTGTGCCACAACGAAAGATCCTGCATGCCACAGCTACGACCTGATGCAGCCAAAAATAAGTAAATAAATAAATATTTTTTAAAAATCCTTTGTCAAATCCAAGGTAATACAGATTTACCCATGTTTTCTTCTAAGAATTTTATAGTTTTAGCTCTTACATTTAGGTCTTTGATCCATTTTTAATTAATTTTGTGTATGGTGTGAGGTAGGGGGTCCAACTTCATTCTTTTGTATGTGGGTATCCAGCTGTGCCAGCACCATTTGCTGAAAAGACTCTTCTTTCCTCCACTGAATGGTCTTGGCACCCCTGTTGAAATCAGTTGACCACAGATGTATAGGTTTATTTCTGGACTCTTAATTCTATTCCACTGATTTATAAGTCTATCCTCGTGCCAGTATCTGGCACTGACTTGATTACCATTGCTTTGTACTAAGTTTTGACAAACGGGTATGTGAGTCTTCCTACTTTTTTAGGATGCTTTTTGCTATTCCGGGTCCCTTCCAATTCCATATGGATTTTAGACACTGTACATAACAATTGTCCAGAGACATTTTATGGTAACCTTACAGAACATGGAAGTGTGCAGGGGTGTTTAGAACCTGTGAGCCCATGTCAGCAATTACTCTCTGTACTTGGGACACCAGCCTGCAGAGACTGTGACTGACATTTGTGCCATGCTCGGGCAGCTGGGACCCGAAGCCTAGAGTTATATGCAGCAGTGGGGGTTTTACCGGGGCACCACTCTCTGTAGCCTCGTTTTACAAAGTCTCCACTGAATCCTGAGTTTATCGTGACAGACAGACACACACACACACAAACACACTCGCGAGTAAATAAAAACAAAGAGAAGGCTGTTTTGAACGAAGGTGGGGGACAAGGATGGGGCTGCACCCTGGGGCGGGGGCAATGGGCTCCTCCTATATGAAGTATAAATTACAGAGTAGAGAGGTTTAAGTTCTGCCCCCACTTGTATGGGTGTCAAGGGGATAAAGCCAGCAGAGTCCAAAAGCCCTCCTGGGGTGAGAAATTGGGGGAAACAGGAAGAATTTGACCAGCTTCTGCATTCACTCCGAGTTCCCAGGATGGCAGGAATCTTGGGAATCCTCCAGGAGCATCTCCTGGGTGCTTGAAGGAGCGGCCCTGACCTGGAGAGTTGCTTGGCGAGCAAATGCCAAATCAGGAGCATTATCTGTGTGCTTGGGGGTGCCTGGGGCTTTCTGGGGATCGTCCTTTCCTTAGACTTTTCTTTACCTAGAAAGAAAAGTCTAAGAACTACCAGAGAGAAGGAGCAGATTATTCTAGAAGGAAACAAGAACAAGATTGACACCCAGTGACAGCACAGTTGATGACAGTGGACAAATGTTTGAAGAACTGAATGGGAGAGGAACTTTGAACCTCGAATTTTATACCTAGCTAAATTGTCCTTCAAATGTGAGGGCTAATAAGTGTATTTTCAGGCATATAGGGCCTCAGAAGTTTGGCCATGTAAAGTTCCAACAAGTACTTTGTGGACCTTGGCAAGCTGATTGTAAACGTTTACAGAAATACAAAGTCAAGAACAGCCAAGACACTGACGGGCAGCGAGAGGACTGGCCCTGTGGGACTGTGAGCCTTACCAAAGAGGCAGCCTCTAAAGTGGTCAGGCTCGGCCTGAGGAAGCCAGGCAGCGGCATGGAGGAGGGGGGCCACGACGAGGTGCTGACCACGCCAGTTCTCGAGGGACACAAATCAGATCATTACAGTGCTCTTCACACCCGTCCTGCTGGCAGGATGGCGAAACCTGACAAGATCAGATTCTGGAGAGACTGTGGGTCAACTCACTGTGCCTCTCGACTGCTGCTGGAGGAGTCCAGACTGATACCCCACTTAGAAGACAACTCGCAGTCTCTCGTCACTTGGGCATTCACACATCCCGAGCCTGCACACGTGCCGGGAGATGTGTACAGGAGCACAGAGCAGCACTGCCGGCAACGGCAGACACGGCCCACGTGCCCTCAGAGCGAGTTCACCGATGGACTAGCTGCTGGACAGTGAAGGTGAACGAGCACAGGGTGCTGGGCACAAACGCGGGTCTGGGGGCGGCACACAGCCAGATGCTGCCCGGTGAGGAAAGCCTGAGGCTGTTCCGACACCCACATGGGCGGTGAACTCACTCCTACCATCCAGCCTCTGATGGAGCAGACGGATGGCAGCATGAACTCAAGCTCGTGGTTCACTGGGAGGACAACAGCAAGACACAGGTTACTGCTGTGTTCTGGTTCATGGGTGGGTTCCAGGTCGGAAGGCTGTTAGTTTAGCAAAAGCTAACCAACCAGACTCACTAAGTAAAAGGGAGCCAGCCTGGCCCGATCGTGAGAATGTGACAGGAGCCAAAGACCGCGACTAATTTTGTGCACCTGGGGGCCATTAGTGGTGTTTTGTCCTGTTGTCACCTAAAATCATCTCACGCTCTCTCAAGGCTTCGTCCCTCACGGTTGCAAACACTGCAGATGGCAGTGGCATCCGGGGCCAGCCTGGTGCCACCTCGAACCTCTCCTTAAGAAGGGACCCAGGAGGGGCCGCTCACATCCCTCTAATTTCTGAGTTTTGTGAAATGAAACATCTGGTATTTAAAAGGGCTGACATAGCGCACACCATCAGATAAAATGTTTGTTTCTTCACTTACAGAACACCAGCGACACGAGTGTCTTCACTGACCACACCTTAGCCGGTGGCTTCGTTCTCTGACCGCGTCCGACCCGCAAACTGCCCCCCCCCCCGTGCTCACCAAGGCCTCGCACAGTGAGGGGTGCTGGGCTGTGGGGCCGTGGAGCCACCGCTGGCAAACACACCCCGTGGTGCAGGTGCCTGGATGTGTCCAGGTGTCCTTGGGTGCGCTGGGGGCCTGCAGGTGAGGCCGCATCCTGGGCGCTTGACTCTCCCTTTACCGAGTACTCTGCCTTCTCTGGGGACTGGCTGATGGGTGAGCCCAGTCTGAGCCTGTGGTGTAGCTCAGGAGAAAGGGCCACTGGCTCCTAGAACTGTCCCCAGAGGGACAAGGCCCCGAGGGTTAGAACGGGAGGAAAGATAGAGCAAGGGTCTGAGTTTGAGGAAGGAAGGTGGCCTCTTGGAGCTGCCCAGCTGTGGCCCTCACCGGCGGACAGTTCAGGCCCTGCTTGCCGAGCCTGGGTAGCGGCAGCCTCCCAGGCGGTCCTCCAGCTGGAGCCGCCCAGCGGCTGCCCCCCCACTCATTGCTGCCATCCTGCTCCCTGTACATCTCTGGGAGAGGCAGGGAGGGCTCTGCTGCTCGCAGAGGGAGAGGAGGGGCCGTCTGCAGGGGGCAGCGGTGGGCCAGTCTCTCCAGGGAGGACCCTGAATGTCTGGGTGGCTGCAGCCCCCAGGCCCGTTCTGGTCTGCCTGTGTGATGTGGTTTGGTCCCCCCTTCCCAGGGCGGGGCGCTCGGCTGCCCCTCGGGCAGGGCCTGTGCCTCAGCCCTCCTCACTGGGGTCCTTCAGGCCCCTGAGGGTGGTCAGCCCTGAAATCCACTCCTGCTGACTTACTTTCCACGCCCTTGTCACCACTGCGTCCGGGGAGCTGGAGGGCCAGGCTGACCTGCTCGGGGACCTCCTCCGCGTTCTCCAGCTGCACCAGAGCCGTGGGTTCTAGGAGAGATCAGGATGCCACAGCGCGCTGACCATGAAGCCTGCTGCCTCGCGCCCAGGACTGTCCCTGGGCTGCCTTCTTGAGCGGCTTCTCTCCCTGGAGCCCAGGGCCTCCGACCCCATCGGGGTCCCCCGCTGGGGACGGTGCGGGGCACTGGAGGTGGTCTTGAAGCCCAGGTTTCAGGGACCTCGACCCTCATCCCACTGGGAGGCCTGGCACTCACGTGATCTCACGGTGACCCGTCTGCCAGGCGAGCTGCGGAAGCTGGCGCTCACTCGTCCTCTGCCGTCCACGAGCTCCGAGAACCTGTGGGAGAGTCAGCGCGGGTCAGCAGGCGGGTTCTGGGCCCGGGCTCTCAGGGGCGGCGGCTGAGGCGGGCACCTGGGGGCCTGGGTCGGCGTTGCGGGGGCGCCGGGGTCGTTGAGCAGACGCAGCTCCGGCAGGCGCGCGGGGGCCGGTCGGGTTCTGAGCGCCCGCGGGGGGAGTCCTTCCCGGTGCCAGCGTCTGTCGGCGCCGTCCCTTGCGGCTGCGGGCGGGGTGGAGGACGGGGTGGCCGCGCGGGCTGGTCTGGGGCTCCCTGTGCCCCCGTCCTGCCCCGCTGCTCCGAGGTGAGAGCCGAAGGGGCGCGTACCCCCATCCCACCCCGAGCCCCGCTCCCCGCCCGATGGGGAGCTGCGGATGCGGCCTGGGAGTGGTCCAGGTGCCGGTCCCCGCCCCCCACCCTGGCCCAGGCTCTCCGCCTGCAGGTGGGGCCGGGCCTCGGACCCCGTCCAGACTCACCTCATCTGAGGCCCACGCCCTGCACACCCCGAGAGAGAGGGCATGGCTCCTCCGTGGGTCCTTGTCACCTAACCGTGGCCTTCAGCAGCCTCCACCCCCAGGGCTGGGTACCCGCCTCACCTGCGAGACCCCCCGCCCCCCACCGGCTCACAGAGGGGCCCCGACCTGCCCTGTCTGCCTGGCGGGCGCGCTTGGGGCTGAGCTGGGTCTGAATGTCACAGGGCAAGTGCGCCCCATGCCCTGAGGGCAGGTCGGTGGGTTGGGAGAGGAGGGAGCCCGGGCTGCCGCCCACCTCCCCGCAGCACCATCCAGACCGGCCGTCCTCTTGTGAGCTGTGACGTGTAAGTGGGGTCGGGTAGGACCCCCGCGGGACCCAGCGGGCCTCCTGTGCTCCTGGGAGCAGACCCGTGTCCTCACCGTGGCCTTGAGCCTCCGCGTTCCTCAGCTGCCCCCACCCTCCGTCCGCCCACTCTGCCCTTCCTTCTTGCCTCTCCCAGCCCACCCCTTGCTGAGGCTGTCCTGCCCCTCCTTCCCATGCTGCGGTCCAGCAGCGCCTCACGGCTCAGGCCTGGCTGCCAGGCTGCCACCCAGGGCCGCCTCCACGCTGCCACTGCCCACTCTCGGCGCTTGTTTTCAGGGTGATGCCCTGTATTTACCGCTCAGCCATCTGGGGTCCACTCGGGCGGACGGCACAAGGTGAGCAGTGAGACGCTTAGTCTTCTGAACTGTCAGCTCACTGACCCAGCACCAGCCGCCCAGGAACTCCTCCCCCAATTTTCATGCATGCAATTCTGTGTCAACACAGCCCTGTTCTCGGCTGCCTGTCTGTCCCTGGGACAGCGTGGCCTGGGCCAGAGGAAGGTCCTGAGGTACAGCAGGAGAGCTGTCTCCCGGACAAGGTGTCGCACTTACAGGTGATGATGTACAGGTGAGCGGGCTCGCTGTGCAGCTGGTCGCCCCCGGCGCTCTGCACGGCCGTCACTGACAGCTGGTACCGCCGTCCAGGCCTCAGGTCCCGCACTGTGTAGGACACCAGCCTCCCATTGGGGACGTAGCGGCTCTTGCTGCTCTGGCTAGTGGTCACGTTGATGACGTAGGCCTCCAGTGAGGTGCCCGGAGTGGGGGCATCCCAGACTACGTGGGCGGAGGTGGCCGTGACTCGGGCGGCGGTCAGGTTGGCTGGCGGCAGAGGCCCTAGGCGAGCACGGAGCAGGGGAGGGAAGTGAACGGGGGTTGACGGGGTCTTCTGCCCAGGACACGGTTTAAAGATCTGACACGGATTGCTGAAGCTCCATTTGAAGCCAGCTTGGGTGGTTACAGACCACTTCGTGGTCCTAAAGGATGGTGTGGAGGGGCGTTTGCAGCTGCTCAGGGCCTGCAGCAGCTCCCCCTCCTGCCCCAAGAGGCACCCCCAGAATGCCACCCGCTGGCCCCCGGTGAGGCCCCCTGCCTGGTCAGCCCATCAGGGTGCCCTCCCAGTGGCACTTTCCATCCCTCGAGCCTGGCCATGCACGCCTTCTCCTGGGATGTAGATAGGGGAGGGGGCTAGACAGGCAGAGGGTGGGCCAGGGCCCCAGCACTGAGGGTCAGAGCAAGGACTTGAGCCTGTGCTGTCCACCTGCACCACCGGGCGAGGCCCTGCTCACCAAGCCCCTGCCCCTTTCCCCACCCCTGTCCACTGTGCCCCCTGTGCCCGGACAGCCCGCGTGTTGGGGAGGGAGGGGCAGTGAGGGCCGGGTGTCCTCCCCGTGACAGCGTGGCGCTCACTGGGGCAGACAGCGTGGCGCTCACTCTGGGGCAACTTGCTGCTTGCCCCTCCTGTCCTTGCTTGGTGACCCTGGTCCCGCAGGAGCCCGGCAGCGTGCGAGCAGCCACGCGGAGGGCTGCCTACGAAGGTCGTCCCCCGCAGGAGGGCCACCCAGCCCCCTGCAGCCGCCATCCCGGGCGCCTCTGGGCACGCCTGGTACACGTGGCCAGGGCCAGGTTTCTGGTGCTGCGGTCACTTTGGAGAGGACTGAGGGCTCGGGGGGAGGCGAGAGCTTCCAGAAGCCCCCGTGCGAGCCGAGCCCTCGCCATCCTACTTACGGGTCCACACGTGCAGCGGCGCCGAGGCCAGGCTCTCGGTGGGGTGCTCCTGCCCCCCAGGCCCGCTGAGGGCAGTCACCCAGATGGTGTATCTCCTTCCTGGAAGCAGGGCCCTGTGGAGAGGGGAGGCCAGGGAGAGAGGAACGGGACGGCTGTGCCGCCAGACTGAGGCTCGTCCGCGCGGGTGTGACGGGGGCCAGGGTCGTCCCAGTGCTGGTGGCCAGGCAGCCTCCATGAAGGCCAGATCTGTGGCCTGAGACCTGAGTGCTCTGGGGGTAGGAAGCTACTCCCTGGTCTGTCTGTCTAGTATTGGAGTGGCTGGGAAGGTCACAGGCCTGCCGGGGTGGCTGGTGTTAAGACAGGAGAGGCCGGAATAGGGCAATTGGAGGAAAAGGGTTAACAGGCCCCCACCCGCCCGCGAGGCTGGCCCTGGGCTGGGCGCGCCGGGAGGGTCCCCAGCCCCCTCGTGGAGCAGATGGCCTCGCTGCCCCTAGACGTTTGTGCCCAGTGAGGCTCCTGCGGAGTGCCGCTTCCTCCTGGGAGTCTGGAACCTTCACCAGGCACAGGTGCCCGCGACCACTCCCAGGAAAAGCCCCAGGCGCTGTGTCTCCGACGGGCTCCCCGGGGAGACAGCACCTCACGGTCTCGTCACGGCTGGTGGTGCGGAGCTAAGCGTGTCATGTGAGGGGAGGGGGCTCTGGAAGCTCACGCCTGGTCCCCGACTTGTCCCTGCGCCCCTTCCTTTTACTGATATTCTTTGTATCCTTTCTCTGTCCTGAATCCAGCTGTGAGCACGGCCTCTGCTGAGTCCTGGGGGCCCCCTAGTGAACGTGGGCGTGGTCTTGGGGACCCTGACGTAGCCACAAAATGCCCACCTTGGGCTCCATTTGTGTTTCTGTCCTGCCACTCTTGGGAAGTGGGCAGGATGTAAATCAAGGAGAGTCACAGGAATACTTAAAAGACAAAGAAAGTGGAGTGTTGTCTCCAGCACTGGCAGCTGTCTGCTTAGACAGAAAGGACAGACATGCACAGGAAAAGTGGTTGTGAGAAGTCTGCAAACCAGAAACGTACCAAAATGTGGGTGGTTCAGGGGATGTGGCGGACAGAGCGCCCCGCCTGGCCTGGCCTCACCTTCCAGAGCCCCTCCCCCTGGCCGTGGCCTGTGGCTGCTCTGGGCTGGACGCTGTGGGCTGTTCCCGCTGAGCCCGCCCAGACTGCTGCGCGGGGATCTGGTGGCTATGTCCTGGAGCGGAGCCGACTTTACTCCCCAGCCTGGGGACCCCTGCCCGGGAGGCTGCCAGCACTCTTCCTTCCTCACCCTTGCCCTCCAGCACTGCCTGCCCTCCTGGCCAGGGGCTGGAAACCTCTCTGGTTGACGAGCAGCCCCCAGGGGTCCCTGAGCTGGGGCGCCTAGGCCGTGAAGTCTGAGGCTTCCCTGCAGGGTTGCTAAAGGGTTTATTTCAGTCACCGGCCATTCTGAATGACTGATGTTCATTTGAATTTTATTTTTGTAGTTTTGTTTGTATGTAATTTGTAATAATTAAGCCTAAGAAGTTTATATGCCTAGTTTAAGGTTCGAACATATTACTGAACAAGATAAAAATGTCAGGCGACCCAGGGGTGCCACGGTTTCTCCCTCTCAGAGGCATCTGCGTGACTCAGGCTGGAAGAACTCTGGGCTGGCCTCTGGGTGGCCAGTGTCTCACTGGCCTCCGTGCAGGAGGTCTGTCCTCAGATTTTTAGAGTGTCTCTGCTTTTGGGGGCACTTTGAAACACCTGTCTGGTGGCCCCATGAGGAGGCGAGGCAGGAGTGAGACCCAGGATCGACCAAGCGCCCCTGCTCCCCCAGGGGCTGGGCAGGTGGGGAGCACAGGGTGGCGGTAAGAGCGAGGCTGGGAGCCGGGGTGGGGCAAGGCCGCCGCACTCTCACCTGAATGTGAACTTGTCAACACCCTTGTCCACGTCGGTGGACTCGTCCTCCTGGGCCTTGGGGTGGCGGATGGACACGCGGACGCTGCTGACGGTGGCGTGGCGGATCTTGTGCAGAGCCCATCGCACCGAGATGGCGCTGGCAGTCACGTTGGTGACCTCAAGGCCCTCGACGGGGCGGGGTCCTGGGGACAATGGGGGCACAGCCGTGTGGCACCTCCTCACCCCTGGGTAGGGCAGGGCCAGGACAAGAGAGGAGGCTCGGGAAGGGCACTGGGAGGGGGTCACGGAGAGGTGGCCTCACGGTGAGCCATCCAGCCTGGGGAGCTGAACATGTCCCCCAGCCCAGTGCGGAGTCGGGGTGGGTGGACACGCCCCAGGCCCCTGCCTTGGGGGGGCTTCAAAGGGGCTGCTGTGGACACTGCTCTGGGCGGTCTTGGCCCCTTCAGACTGCCAAGGGCGAGGTGGGCCCTTCCTGACCCTCTGGCTGGCTGTCTTGGTGGCACCGACAGCGACTACCTGCACTGTCTGGGTGGTCCAGGGGCCTGACGGGGGAGAAGCAAGGAAGGGTCCTTGGCGACCTCAGGGAAGGGGCCGAACCCCAGCCAAGGGAGCTGAGAGGGGCGCCCGAAGCTCCCAGGGTGCAGCGCCCCATTCTGCGCGCAGTGGTACCCCTCCCACCCTGTCTTCCTTCCAGAGGCCTTTCCCCGGCAGACCCCACCTTGAGCAGCGCAAAAGCACTTCTTCCTGAAGCCAGGCTGAGGGTGGCCTACTCCTCCCCCAGGCCCCTGAGGGCTCGCTCCTCTGCCACGTGCCCGGGCCCGCCCTGCTGGCCCGGTGTGTCCTCGGCACCGCTCGCTGGCCTCCCCCAGGACGTGCTGCCCTGAGTCCTCGTCTCGCCCTGCACTGGCCCTCAATGTCCTCGGTGTCAGCGTCTGCTCGGGCTGGCAGCTGATGCCAGGATGCCTGCCTCCCTCCTCCCGGGGCACCTGAGAAGGTGCTCCCCCGCCCGTCCTCCGAGGGTCTGCACCCAGCCGCCTGCCTGTGTCCACCTGCCCCGGGCCTCACTCGGAGCCCGTCAGCCACCCCACGGGGCTCTCGACGCGCCCAGTGGTCACATCACTTCCCAGTTCTCGCTCCAGCCTCCA